TTTGATCCAGAAATTTTCTACCCTTAACATGTGAGCTTACAAATGTATAGCTATTAAAAATTGTGGAAGGCACTATGTAGAAAATAAAACAAATGGGAATTTATTTTTGAACTTTTAAAATTCACCTCATAACAAGTGAATGGTTAAGGGTGAAATTATTTTTAGGATATAATTTCAAATATAATTTTAGGATATATTTGAAATTATACCTCTTCTGTATTTGAGGTGCTTAAAATTTTTTTTGCTGGGAAACAAGATTTCAAACTTTTTTAATTGAGAAGGATGTCAGGATAAACAATTAAACTGATGGCCAGTGAGTGATAGATTTAGATTCAAACAATCATGAAGGCAATATATCTTTTTTAATATGAAATAGATCAAGTATTACATAAATAGATCAAGCACATAAATGTAGGGGATATAGTAAATACATGTGTACTTACCATTAAGCAGTGTCAAATCTAAAGATTTTGTGATATTTGCTGTAGCTCTTTATTTTTTTTAGAAACAGCTTTTCAGGCTTCAGGGAAGATCCTTTCCATCCCCCATTCCAGAGGTAACCACTCTAAACTTGGTTATTATCTCTAACCATGTTTTATACTTCATGTTCATTTGTATGAGGTACATGGTACCTCATATAATCTTACATGTTAAAAAATCTTTATATAAAGTTTATGAATATTCAAGATGTGTGAAATATTCCCTTAAGGCTTGGGGGCATCAAAATGATAACCACAGGGATTATTTTAGGATTATGGATGATTTTTCCATTCTTTGTAACCTTTTATTTTTCCAATGTCCCTTTTTCTTTTGGTACTGGGGATTGAACCCAGGGGTGCTTTACCACTATGCTACAAACCCAACACCTTTTTATGCTTTGTTTTAAAGCAGTATATTACAAACAAACCTACTGTTGTCTTCCAGAAGCTTTGTAGAAAACAAAGAGCACATTTAGTAGAAAATTAATCAAAGGCTGACAGTTTAAAGAAGTTGGGAAGAAGTTGATAAACAGATAAAATTAAATCTTTAAGGAAATTAGGAAATAGCAGTTAAAATTTTCACTTAAGAAAAAGTCAAGTTACTAAGAATTATGATAATGTTGTGGTTAATACTTTCAGAAGACTTCCTCTTCATTTATTAAGTTGTTTTTTATTTTTGGTGGGGGTAGTGGGGACCAGTTATCTGCATCCTTTATTATCAGTATATTCTATTGAGCATACCATAAAAATCCCTAGAGGGTGAATGGAAAGGCATCAGTGACAAAAGCACCTTAGTTTTTCCCCAATATTAAACACTTGAAACAGTAAGTTAATGGAAGTGGAATAAAAGTTCCCCAGCACCACCAAGAAAGAGGGGAGAGTCAAACTTACTAACTTCCATTTTTCAAGGAATAAATAAAATTCATTTTAGGGATCTCAAATTCACATCCCATCAGGGACTAGGTATTTGTTACTTTACATAGTGCAAATTTTAAAAATAATTTTGTTTTAAATGAGCCCGTGGGAGTGAATTTGGCATGTAGATTACTAACTCATGACCTCTGATATTTTAAATTACTTTTAGAGATAGAACTCATATATTAGAAAATGCACCCCTTTCAAGTAAAGTCAGTTTTTAGTAAATTCACAAATTTTGGCACCCTTCACATCTAATTCCAGACAATTTTCATCACCCCCCAAAGAAACCCCATACACAGTAAGTTCCCATTTTTCCTTCCTTGCCCCTGGCAATCACTAAACTTTCAGTCTCTATGGATTTATATATTCTGAACATTTTATATAAAAGGAATCATACAATATGTAGTGTTTTGTGTATGGGTTCTTTCATTTTGCATAATATTTTCAAGGCTCATCCATCTTTTCAAGACACAACAGTACTTTATTCATTTCTATGGCTGAATAACATTTACTATATGGATATACAACTTCTGTTTATTAACCCATCAATGGATATTTGGGTTGTTTCCTCTTTTGGCTATTACGAATAATGGTATAATTATTCATGTGCAATGACTTCTGAATTTAAGTTCAAATTTTAGTTTTATAAATAGTGGATATATTAAACATGATTCAATAGTATACATGCTAACACTTAAGATAGTTCAAATATATAGTGATAGTAAGATGATTCAAATATATAGTGAAAGTTCTTCCCATCCTTGTTTCCCAAATGTCCAATTTTCATTCCCTCCATTCTGTCCCAGAAGATGAACACTATTTTTATTTTTTATTTAGGTAGCTGGGATTGAATACAGGGGCACTGAGCCATATTCCCGGCCCTATTTTAGAGACAGGGTCGCACTGAGTTGTTTAGTGCCTCTCCATTACTGAAGCTGGCTTTGACTTGTTCCTCCAGCCTCACCCTCCCAAGCCCCTGGAATTACAGGTATGTATGCCACTGTGCCCAGAACTCCATTAATCATTTTTGTATTCCTGAAAGCAAGATAATTTATTTGTGCTGGGGTTGTAGCTCTGTGGTAGAGTGCTTGCCTTGCAAGTGGAAGGCACTGGGTTTGATCCTCAGCACCACATAAATATAAAAGTATTGTGTCCATCTACAACTTAAATAAATTAATTTATTTATTGGAGGAGGGGTGCTGGGGATGGAATCCAGGACCCCATGCATGCTAGGTAACACTCCCAGGCTTTTTTTCTTTTTAATAGAAATGTGCTTCTCAGTACCTTGATTTTTCACTTATCTTGAATTTTATTTTTAGACAGTATCTTCATTCTCTTCTACACATTTCTCTTGAGCAGCTATACCACAGTTTATCTACTCTCCTTTTTATGGTTACTTTGGTGATCTAAATATTTGCTTTTTACAAAATTCACTTGTCAACTAGTCATACAATAATAAATAACCAATGAGATAAATACTATGAGATTTAATAATGAGAAATAAAAGAACTACCATCCTCTTAATTGTTATGTCATTAGGTAAAACTGAAACTGAAAAATCGGTAATCAAAGATATTGGCCTAGTTAAGCAACGTGGGGTTTTGTATGGTGAGGGAGCAACCCAGGGCCTTACACATGAGCAATTTGTTTTTAAACTACTTCTTCTCAGGATTTTTTATAGCCCTCAAATTTAATTTAATGGGTCATTTTCATTAAATCCAATACAGGGAAATCTAAGAGGTTTTTGCCTATAGGAAAGACTTAAGACACAAACCTATGAAGTATAGAAAATGTAGCAACCAAACTGCTTTCTCATTTTTCTAATTGCTTACTATGCGAATATATTAAGATACTTGTTAAGTTGCAAAAACAAGGGATCAACTAAACTTCAACATTTAAATATTAGTTAAAACAAGCTATTAAACAGTTTGCTAAAAATAATTTTTGTCACAATAGGCAGCAGGGGAGAGAGGAGTGGAGGTTCGCCAGATTGGACAGGAGGGAATGGGGGGAGAGGAGGAAGGGAGGAAAGATAGGAATATGAAAGACGGCAGAATGATTAGGACGTAACATTCCTATGTTCACATATGAATACATGACCAATGTAACTCCATATCATGCCCAACCACAAAAATGTGAAGTCATGTATATCAAAATACATTCTACTGGGCTGGGGTTGTGGCTCTGTGGTGCAGCACTTGCCTGGCACCTGTGAGGCACTGGGTTCTATCCTCAGCACCACCTAAAAATAAATAAAATGGAGGTATCGTGTCCATGTACAACTAAAAATTTTTTAAAAACATTCTACTGTAAATGTATGACTAAAAAGAATAAAAACATTTTTACATCTATTACTATTAAGTAAACATGGGATAAATAGTTCCTACCCTATTGTTAATGTCATTAGTTTCTATGCTATGACAATTTTTATTGGGTGGTTTCTCTGAAATAGCTTCTACTTTTCATTTTGCACAAGGCTACAGTATACCAATAAACATTCCAAAGTATTGGGCTTTGGACACTTCAAAAATGCATGAAAAACTCTTAAGATATCATCACAGAAGAAAAGATGCATTATTTATTTTACTGATTAGTTGGAGAACAAAAGACTGAGGTGTTGGCTATCGAGTTGAGAGAACAATGGTACACTAGACTCCACTGACTAACCCAGGTAGAGAGAGGCTGGAAATGCTGAGATGGAACATTTTAGTCTGTTCTAATAGACTGATTAAGGTGTTCATCATTCCAGAAACTATTTCTTCGGCTGTTGTTTAATTCTTCCGAGTATGCCTGATCAAGTGCTAACAGCTGAGTTTCAAGTTTGCTGAAACATCTTTGTTAATTTAACTTGATCTAAATGAGAAATGCAAGTAAGAATGAGGGGTCAATTTATTTTGTGTAAATTTATCATTAAATATCAATGTGTACAATTCAAACATTTACAAATCTTGCAATCTGTAAAAAAATTAATGTAATATTAAGATTATCTGAACAGTGATTTGCACCATTATTTACAATTATCTCAACCTACCTTTGTAGAAAGGTAATTATGTTTAAAAGTATCCCTGCCAAAAAGTGATAATTTCACAGTACCTTTCTTTAGTATTTGTGTCACTTAAATGCCAGCATCAATAAAACCCAGCACATTTAATAATTTAGAAACAGCACAATCAGAACGGTAGATACAAACTATGATGAATTCCAAACAAAACCTCTTTTATCAACATATAAATATTTTCCCATTCGACATTGATAGAAGAAAAGAATTAGGAGGCAATATTTTCTTGTTTACTAGAAAAAAATAAAACTAGGTGAATTCTTATATAATACTAAATATTTTGAGAAATAATTAGTTTCACTGGAAGGCATTTCTAATGGTAAAACTTTTTTCATTTGTAATATGACAATGAGCATTGATAATTCTCTAGCATTTCCAGATTGAAAGATTGTCTTTATTCCTACATTTTCCTTTTGTTTTTAAAATCTGACATTCCCTCAATCCCTCAAAAGAATCCCAAATATATAAAAGATTAATTGAAACAAAAAATAATTTTATTTTGACTAACGCTTGTGTTTGAGAACAATGTTTACTGTAATATTCCATAGTTTTCTTTTTTAAAGATATATCCAGCTAGACAATTAAATAAAAGGTAAAGTATAAGAAATATAGCTGAAATCATAATAAAGTACATTTTCTTTTATTGACATAGGAGATATACTTAAATTTTAAATATTGGCTCTTTAAGAAAAATTTCTCTTGGTTAAATAATATGCATAACCGTTGCCCAAACATGTATACAGCTGTTTCCCCCAAACTATTTATATACATAGTAGTCCACTTAAAACCAGCCATGTTAACCTACTAAATACAATGTGCTCCTAAATTTATAAATGGGCTACCAGTAGTATATAAAATATATAGGCATGTATGTTATACATATAAAGTAAAAAAATATAAAAAGGAGAGATGGAAGAAATAAGAAAAAGAAAACATCCTTTCCTATAAGATCCAGACAAAAAGTCACTCTAATTAGTCAGACAATGTAAAATACTGAAGCATTTCAGTTTTGGCAAATACTTTTCAGAAAAATATCCAAACTATGAGCTACTAAATTGTTGTCTTAATAATTTTAGTAGAATTTTACATTTAAACATTCAATGAAGATGTGGTTTTCTAATATATAGAAAAGAAAACTTTTGGCAAACCAAAAAAAAAAAAATCACTCTTTTTAACAGGTTAGTATTAACCCCTTAATCAGGCATGTAAGGTGCAGATAATCAAAATCCTGTTCCGTTAGCATCTGAATATGTTTGATGAAAGACTCCAATGGACAGGATCTGAATTCTTCCTAAATCTTAGAGGGAATGGGGCAGGATGTTACGACAATGGAGGGGGTCAGCCCCAAAAGTAGCTGGCCTAACCTTAACTGTCAGTGTTAAAAAAACACACCAAATATTTCTGTAGCATTCTTTCTGCGGCATTTTCTTTATCTCAAGCCACAGGTCTACTTGGAGGATCATGCAGCAAGTGGCTTATAAATAAAATCAGAGTCTATGAATAGTGTCATCACATTAAGAGACAGAATTGCTGGATTCTCTCATTACATAAAAAGCTTGCATCTTGGGAATCCATGAGTTGGAATTATTTATGGGATACCTAAAATAGGGGACAAAAACCATATAAATCAATAAGACATATATGAAATTCAGGAGTAAAAGCAATGAAGACTATTCAATCATTTATTGAGCTACAAATTCAATGATTTCAAAATACTGCCTTCTAGTTAAAATGCAACAAATGTAACTAAGCCTACTCCAAAATTGGCAAATACAACTACTGTTGCTAGTTGTTTACAAGGCAAACAATTCCACTATTCTTGAATTTTGGTATATGTCACAAAAAGAACCTAAAGATGGTGACAATATGCATTCTAGAAGCCTACCAATTTGAATACATACCATCATTATGCATCTCAAAATACTCGGGATAATGAAAAGTAACAGAATAGTTTCTAAAAGTGTATGTTTATATTTCTCTATAAATTTAAATTACAGTTCTCATTGCAACATTTAGAGTCTTCCACTAAACATTCCCGAGAAGCAGAAAGAGAACAGACATTTTCTAATTCCATATAGATTTATGTATACAGAATCCCTTAGCACATTAGCACTAATACCAGGATACTATTAGTACACAAGCGATGATTTGAAAAAAAAATTATCTTGAGTATACTTGAATATGAAATCTAGTTTTAAATTTTCATGCAAGTAACTCAAATTTTTCATTAAAAGATAATCTAATGTTCTGATATGTAATTTTCATTTCATAACACACAGCACTAAACTGACGATGCCAAACAAAATAAATACTTCTCAAATTCTACAAACAGATGTTTCTCCCACATTAATATGTTTAAAATTTGCATTTTAAATCCAGGTCATCATCATATTAACTAAGAGAGATAATTTAACTCTTTCTGTAATCATTATGATTTTATAAAATGTTTTACTTTCATGGAAACATATAAATAAGAAGCAACTTGTTTCCATTTAAGCCAGTAATTTGAAGAAAAACTGAGCTATCATCAGGAGAAACTTCCAAAATGACTACTATTTAAATAAACACAGATTATGTTTTGCATTTCATAATATGCTGAGACATTTTACTTTACAAGAATATTCAGTAGCTGTTAATATGCAAAAATAATTCAGTTTTTGTTTAATCTCTAATTTACATAATAAATTTTAAAATTTCAGCTCACCAAATATATTCTTTTAACTAAAATAGAAGTGACTACAAATCTTCTCTGATTTTAGAGTTTTATAAGAACTCTACTAACATGCTCTGGCTTAGAATCTTGCCAGAAATGAACTATCAAGTCTTGTTTAGCAAATTTTCAAAAGTATGAAAAACAATTTATATACTTAATGTCAAAATTACACTTTAACTTTCATCAGTCACTCTGAAAGTCCTTTCATTTAAACATTAACATTTGTACTCTTCCACTTTAACTTATTGATGTAGCTGACAGCAGAATGTAGCCCCTCAAAGAAACTATCTACTAAAAATAAAAATTTAAGCAATGTCAGTCCTTAATTCCAATTGTTCCAAAACATTAATTGATATAATTATATCTTTCATTGATTTTCCAGGTTCCTAAACACAGAAAGAATGAAAAACACTGAAAACTTTCTGCTGAATTATACATAAACACATTAAAGCTAACTAATAACAATTGTCTAATTTAAAGAGTAACTAACCTGAGATGTACCTTGCTCCGATTAACATTACCATGCTACTCACTATAAAAATGCCCAAGGGCAGACTACAGAAGATACTAGGGTCACCTGTGGTCATCCAAGTAGAAGGGAATTCCAGTCAAGCAAACCAAAAGAGAGACACATAATTACAATATTTACGTTAAGAATCACATGATAGCAAAACAAAATAAGTTATAAAAATAGCATATTCATAAAAGCTAGCAAAGAGTTATTACTTTAAATCAAAAATATAATCAATATCAAAGGCTTATGACAGATAACAAACAATACAGAGACCATGCCACAAGTAGCCAAGAACATAATACATATAGACCAACATTAGCCTTCCACTGGCAAAGCCAAAGAGAGCCTATGGAGAACTTTTTGGGAGGCTGATGAGTTTTGGGCTTTTCTCCCCCAAAGATACTAAATGATCATATTCACCAAAGTTCAAATTATACATCCTTTGGCTGTCAGAGAAGAGTTATATTAGTCTATTAAAAATGAATTCCAAATCCTTTCTTTGCTAAAACATTGATTCAGTCTCATTTTTAAATAGATGTTGATGTGTAAGGAAATGTACCTGTAATATATTAATCTACATTTTAAAATTACCCAAGAACAACTATTTTTGTATTTTCTAATCTGATATCTATTGGAATCCTTTTTTAAAGAACATTCCTTATATATACCCATTTTTTAAATTTAAATATTACATATTTAGGGCTGGGGTTGTTACACAGTGGTAGAGCACTTGCCTAGCAGGTGTGAGGCACTGGATTCGATTCTCAGCACCACATATGAATAAGAAAAGGTCCATTGATAACTAAAAAAATATTTTCTAAAAAAGTAAAACAAAAGGGGGGGTACTGAGGTTGTAGCTCAGTGGTAGAGCACTTGCCTAGCATGTGTGAGGTACTGGGCTCGATCCTAAGCACTACATAAAAATAAATTAATTAAATAAAGGCATAAAAACACAATAATGGGCTGAGGTTATGGCTCAGTGGTAGCGCACTCGCCTGGCATGTGTGAGGCACTGGGTTTGAGTCTCAGCACTGCAAATAAATAAATAAATAAATAAATAAATAAATAACAACTAAAAAAAACTTTAAATACAATAACATTATTAAAATAAAGTTTAAATAGATTATATATTTAGAATATATAGTACTTTTTATTTTGGTGTTGGGTATTGAACCTAGGACTTCCAAGCTATATCTCTAACCCCTAGAATATTTAAAACTCTTTAAAGAAGAAGCTTATTAAAAAACAATGCCTAAGAGTTGAGGAAGCATAACCATTAGACAGGGGCTTCACTGAAATGTGGTTAAAGATTCTCTGTGGGTGTATTGTGTGATACAGTAAACTAATGACAGTAATTTCTTTGCTTTTCAAGGAAAGGATTTTTCCTCCCTCACCATGCATTTCTTTCCCCATAGAGGTAATTTTTCATTAGAAGGACATTATCCATTTTCCCTACTTTGTCATTGTTTATGTTATTTTTGTTTTCAAATAAAATAGGGTTTTGTTCCCTATTTATACTGACTGCTAAGGCTTGGATATGAGGTTTCCCCAAAAGCTCTTGTGTTAATTTAGGAATGTCTGGAGGTGTGAAATGATTGGATTGTGAGATCAGTAACCTAATCATAATCAGTCCATCCTAGTGTGAATGGACTGTGTGGTACCTGTACCCACGAGGAAGTATGGCTGGAGGAGGTGGGTCACTGGGGACATGCCCTGGAAACATGCATCTTCCCTGTGGCCCCTTGTGACTCTCTTTGATTCCTAACTCAGCTGGGATCTGAGCAGCTTTCCTCTGCTGGGCCCTTCCTTCATGGTGTGCTACCTCACCTGGGGACCAGAGCAATGGAGGACCAACCAAATACTGAACCTCTGAAACCATGAGCTCAAAATAAATTTTTTCTGGGCTGGGATTGTGGCTCTGTGGTAGAGTCCTTGCCTACCATGTGTGAGGCACTGGGTTTAATTCTCACCACCACATAAAAATAAATAAATAAAATAAAGGTATTGTGTCTATATACAACTAAAAAATTATTAAATAAAATAAATTATTTCTCATCTTGTAGGATATTTTTGGTCACAGCAATGAAAAGCTGAATAAAACAGGGACCATATTTTAATTAGATTTTAGAAAAGGAAAATCTATGTTCTGGTTCTCTTACAGCAAGTTATAAGTTATGCTAAGGTACAACATCTGCTTTTTTGGATATTCCTACAGTGAATTCTATTTTGAAAAGATCTGAAGATTATCTATATTCAGGAGTTGCTATTTATATATAATGTTAATGAGGCTATTTCTCTTTTGGTGGAATATATACATGTTTATATATTACATATATACTTATATCACTCATATATGTATATATAGTGTTAATGAAACTATTTCTCATTAATTCTACCAAGAGAAATAACTTCATTAAAAATATCCCACCTAAGTTGATAGTAACTCTTGGATGCAGATAAGTCTAAGATTATCATATATAATTAATATAAATATATTGATATATTATCATATATATAATTAATATACATATTGATATTATCATATATATACCCATGATATTACATTATATACATATACTAGTAATATACAGATACATATTAGATAATATATAGTATATGTATATATAGTTATATATGTAATATGCTTGCTATTTGATATGTATAATATATATAAACCAATTTGACCTGCTTTCAAAATGCCATTATGGTGGGTTGGAGCCCAAACCAAGTCGTTGTTTGTGATAAACCTTCTCTAAAAAACATCAAACCTCCAATCACTTCTACATCTAAAACACATAACAAATGTATATTAATAATGCATTCAAATATAGTTACAAGCAAAAAATAAATGACTGTTCTAATGTTGACAAAGTGCTTTGGAAATCAAGCAAACAATACTCTTCCCATAATTTAAAGCAATTCTAACATCCTTTCGAATTTATTAAAATAGGGCCCTTTGTAATTCTATTAAACAGCTTAGAAATACCCCACATATTAAATCATGTTTTTAGAACTTTGACCTTAACGCTACTATTGTCTAGCTAAAACAAAAACAAAAGAAAATCTAAAACTCTCAAAAACTCAAATTACTTTTGTCATCAATGCTGATAAGCAGAACTGAAGAAATGTAATTTTTTGTTTGTTTTTACCAACTTTTTCTTAGCATTTTAAATTAATTGATAGGTATATAAACAATGGGAAATGGGAAATAGGTACATAAAAATGGGAAAATTGATTTGGGGGGAATTCTGCAATTAAAAGTTATATCTTCAACTACCAATATAGAGAACTGTGAGAGTACAAGGTATGGCATACAAGGAGGAAGACAGGAAGATTGTGCTATTAACAAAAATTCACCTACTAAAAGAAATCTTATAACCCAACTTCTCATTAATTCAGGACAATTAAAAAAGAAGTCAGGTACCACATCTATTACATCTCACATAACATATGTATATAATGTAACATCACATATAATACATACATCTCACATAACTAGCATTATGCTAAAAAAAAATAAGTATGACTAAGAAGTGTAATTGTAAAGGATCTCAAAATTGCAGTCTTGAAAGAAAGGCTTGGCTGTCATCTTGGAAAAGGCAGCTGAATCTGAGAACAAAAAGGATATCAAGCTCATTTTGGAGAAAAAAACGAAAGCTCCAAAAGTAGGAACATCAGGACTGAAAATACAGATCACACACGGAGCTGTGGTGATAGATTGTTCTAGAGGCTTGTCTTAAAAGCCAGATACATTAAAAGTGGTTCTAGGGGGCTGGGGATGTGGCTCAAGTGGTAGCGCACTAGCCTGGCATATGTGGGGCACTGGGTTCGATCCTCAGCACCACATAAAAATAAAGATGTTGTGTCCACCGAAAACTAAAAAATATTTTTAAAAAGTGGTTCTAGGGGGTAGCTCAGTGGTAGAGCACTTGCCTAGCATGCATGAGGCACTGGGTTCGATCCTCAGTGCCACATAAAAATAAAACAAAATAAAATAAAAGCATTTTGTCCATCTACAACTACAAAAATTGTTTTTAAAAAATTCAAAAGTGGTTCTATACTCACTTTGGGGGTTGCAAGGCAGGTAATATTTCATTTACAAATCTTCTCCATTAAAATATATTCCTAATCATATTATTGGCCATTGTTTTGTTCATTATACTCTTGTATTTATCATAGAATTTAATTAAAGGCAGTTTGAGGCTGTTTAAATCTAAATGGTTTATTTGGGCTAAATATCTTCCTGCCTAAATGATTTGAAAAGTAAAATAGTCCTTAATTTTCTGCTAAAAGCCTATCTCAATCTATTATAATACTTCTGATTTACAATGTTTGGTAGATTTCTTCCTGTTTCTACAGTATTCCCATTGTATAAATTTCCTAAGTACTTTGGATCGGGATAGGAAGTAGTAGAATATATTCTGAAATTAAAATAGGTTCTACTGGTTCAGTTCATAAAGATAGCCTCCCAAAAAGGTAAGATAAGACAAGAGAGAGGAAAGGGGAGGGAGAGAAAGAGAGGATTCTAGTTGATTTTTTTGTTCATTAAGAATAAACTAGAAATAATTTTACTTTGGGAATATTTAATTATCAATTGAAGTGCCAGGAATAAACTTATAAGGAAAGATATGACAGAACAGAGTTAAAGAATTTACATTAACCTGATAATTTCCATTTTATGTTAAGAACTTTAAAGTGCTTTCAAAATATTAGAAACTTTGGACATATAATGCTTTTCTTCAGAACAGCCTGGCTAAGTAAGTGTGAATGGCCAGATACGTAGATAAATTGTTTAATATACTTAGAAAATATAGAAATAATAAACAATGAAAATATTTTACCACTTTCTGGAGACTGAGTTGTAACCCAACCCATTGACTTCATCACAGCTTTCTTCCACGTAGAATAACGAATTTCACTTTCTAGAATTTGAAAGGAGGAAAAAGAAAACAGATATGAAAGATAATTTGCAGAGGTGTTCTGTGTCATACTTATCACTCTGCATTTTACTATGATTATTTTTTGTACTGAGGATTGAACCCAGAGGTGCTCTATCACAGAACTACATTCCTACCCCTTTTTTGAGACAGGTCTCGCTGAGTTGCTGAGGATGCTTTTGAACTTGTGGTCCTCCTGCCCCAGCCTCCTGAGTTGCTGGTATTACAGGTATGTGCTACTGTGCCTGGCATCACTTTGTATTCTTGACATTGTTGTACACATTACACTAAAGTGAGGACTCAGATTTGGGAGCACATGGTTGTAGGTTAATGGGCGGTGCTTAGATGTTGTAGAGAAAAAAGCATCATGGGAAATTCAGCATGGGACCGCAGGGTGAAGGGAGATTGGGAGACAGACTACTTGCTATGAAGACAGGGCTATTCAGAAATAAGTGGTGGTCAATTTGAAAACGGAATCCCATTTCCCATTTGATTTCTCTTTCTCTCCCCCTCCCCCTCCTAATGTGAGGAGAAGGGGTTAGTATGATGTGGAAAAACTAGAATTGCTTTTGGTCCAGTTAAAGGATTTAGCAAATACTGATTTCTCACAAGATTCAAAGTGAATTCCTGTGAGGCTCCCCTGACACCTGAAAGCAAGATTTCTTAAGGTGAAAATCTACAACAGGAGGACTAAACAAAAATGAACATTGACGCTATACTCTAAAGTCTACCAAATCATGTGTAAGACTAGCCTTTTGTCAAGCCTCCCCAGCCTTTTCACAGCTCCTGAAACCTGAAACTCCCAGGAGATAAGGCTCAAAGATCACTAGCTTCAGAAAGTTTTCCAATGTCCCACTTGTAACCCCATGCCCACCCTTGCCTTCGCACATCCCTTAAGATGTTGGTTACCAAGTGAATTTTTATGGTTTGGTCTACCTCTCCCAGTTTATGTGAGTCTCCTGAGGGGAAAGGATTTGGTCTTTTACATCTTTGTAGCCTCATGAAAGTAACAATCTCTGACATGCAGTTGGCTCTAAATAACTGTTAGCTGAAAGGATGAAGTAGGTGCCTATTAGTATGTGGGGGATAGTGGGAAGAAATCAGTCAAAGGGAGGAAAGCTGGCAGAACTGATCAACTCCAGGCTAAGGCCTTAAATGATGGCAAAGATGGCTCACCTAAGGAAACAATCATCTTATCCTTTGCTCAAAAATTCCTTGCTTTAAAAGTTGGATAAGCATTTAGAGGCCACATACATGTTCTGAATATTATCTGCCTATTAAGCTGGTATGTTTTTTCAGAAGAAAAAAATTTGAACTTCATATTTTATCCAGTATTACAAAAATTTAAAAATTCCAGGGCTGGGGCTATGGCTCAGCGGTAGAGCACTCACCTAGCATGTGCGAGTCCCTGGGTTTGATCCTCAGCACCACATAAAAATCAATAAATAAAGGTTAAAAAATTATTTTTAAAAAAGTTTAAAAAAAATTTTAAAAATTCCGACAGAATATCAGATTTTGAAACAAATTTCTACATCTTGGTACATGGTCTAATGTCTGACTATAAAATTATAGTATTATAACTCATTTTATTATATATGAAACTCTAGTATAAATTCTAGAAAATTCAAGAAAAATGCATTTGAAAATTTATTTTCCAAAAGCTCAAAATCCACTTTGATGCTTTTATGCATAAAAGGTTATAAAATCAAATTAATAAATAAAATCATATTTTCCTATTCACATCTTTAAGAAAAGTATCACTATATTTTAATAAAGATGTTGAGCAGAGCTTTTGGTCTAGTTTAATTGCTGAGGACAGTGAATCTGATATTTAATGCTCATTTATTTAAATTGCTGCCACTCTTTGTTAGGGTAGTCCTGTTGTGCTAAAACATTACCAGAGTGTCTCTTAAATCAGCTAATCATATTCTAGGAGCCAGGCCATCACACTGAGGGTGACTTGGTATACACATTAGAGGTGGGTGGCTAATATATCTCATTTATCACTTTGTTATTCTCCTAAACAGTGTAGAAATGAATGGTTTAAAAAGTGACTTTAGAGACTCGGGTTATAGCTCAGTGGTAGAGTGCTTGCCTAGTATGTGTGAGGCCCTGGGTTCGATCCTCAACACCACATAAAGATAATAAGTAAAATAAAGGCACTGTATAAATCTACAACTGAAAAAAAATAAAGTGATTTTAGAAGTTTTTTAAAAGGAAACAATTCTTTCCTCCACACTTATTTAGCATAGCCCAATATGGCTTAGCAGCCACATCTGAAATAGTAACTTTTGCTATTTTACTTTGTTCCTTAACTTAAAAAGTAAACAGAAAGGCAAACCCCCTGAAACTGAAGTCATTTTCACAGAATACCATTCAAAGTTTCATTCTTTATATTTACCCTCAGCATTGATCTGAGGTTCAAATCGCTCCATCGTGACAGCTGACAAATCCTCAGGTTCAAGACTCCAAACGCCAACTCCTTCTGCAGCCCCTGCTGCCATTGCAGCACCTAGTGCAGTTGTTTCAGGCATGGAGGGCTTCACTGAGGGGCAAAAGATACATCAACAGTTTTGCAGTTATGTATGCCTAAGTTCTTCTGAAGGAACCATTACTTCTGGAGTTAAAGGAATGAAGACTTACTAACCTACTGGAATATACAGGATGTCCGCTTGCAGCTGCATAAGAATTTTGTTGCTGGTCATTCCTCCATCTACCTGCAAATGGCTGAGTGGAATTCCACAGTCGCGATTCATGGCATCCAAAATCTTAAATAAACCAATGCAATTAACATTATGAAACTACTTCATAGTAACATCTATGAAAATAGCAACCCTCCACTCAAAAACCCTAAGGAACTTTCCAAAGCCTACAATATGAAATTGAGATATCTTATATTCATTTTCCAAGCCCTCCTTGATCTGGTCACAGTCAATCTTTTCTCTCATTTTATCTCTGCACTATGATATTCAGCAAGCCATATGATTCTGTTCTGCACCCTGGTTTCCTGGCTTGATAAGTCTATGTCTGTTTTGTCTCCTCTGTTTACTATGTACCACTCAGACTCCCTGAAATTATAAAATGCCTAGTAATAAAAGCTGGGAAAGGAGGGAAACATATTTAGATTTGTTTATACTAGTTCTGTTTTTTTATTAAGCATACTTTTGGCATTTAACAAATTTCAGGCATTAATATATCATTTTAAAATTCATAATAGAGGATAATTTACAAGAAAACAGGCCAATATTTATTACCTCTCGAGTTTGAAAACAAACAGCTTCTAGTGCAGCAAAAGCGATATGGCATTTATTGGTGAATTGAGTAAGTCCACAGATTATCCTAAAAATACACAAAACATTTTCAGATTAAAGTGTTATGAATAAGTCATCCATTTGAAATGTCCCAAATATGCAAAGAGTGAATTTGGTGAACAGAAACATTCAGAGAAAGAAAATTCAATATAATCATAAAATAACTTGGAAAGTCTTTATAGTACACACTCCTGCATTCACATATGGAAAAGTTCATGAGCCATCTAAATAGATGGCAGTAAGGCAAAATCAAATCATTTAGATGATGGCCCTTTGCTATACAACTTGTAGATGCCTTGAAGAAAAAGGATAACAGTATTATCATGAATATGAATATAGCAGAAGCTATAGTATACTGATTTATAACTTTTTGTAGTTTAAAGTTCTGAAGTTAGAGTCTCCAAACAGGAAAGGTTTTCTTAACATTTTAAAATCATGAAAATAGGAAACTAGGGCTGGGGATGTGGCTCAAGCAGTAGTGCGCTCGCCTGGCATGCGTGCGGCCCAGTTTCGGTCCTCAGCACCACATACAAACAAAGATGTTGTGTCCGCCGAAAACTAAAAAAATAAATAAATAAAAATTCTCTCTCTCTTAAAAAATTAATTTAAAAGAAAATAGGAAACTATTAACTAATTTGTTAAAAGAAACAAAACACCAAAAAGTAGACCATATTGTCAATACTTACCTTCTTTATTTTCTAATTGATAATAGTTTTACATATTTGTGGATGGAGTATAGTGTGGTATTTCAATATACACACACAATATGTGATGATCAAATCAGGATGCTTAGCATATATATCACCTCAAATGTTTATCATTTCTCTCTGTTGGGAACATTCAAAATCATCTCTTCTAGTTATTTTGACATACATAGTAAATTATTGTTAACTATAGCAATACTTACCCTCTTGCACTAGGTTCCCAATAAGGTGCATATAACCCTGAAAATGCTGGAACAAAGTAGCAGCCATAAGAAGTACCTACTTCTTTAGCGAGTTTTTCTAATAGTTAAAAGAAAAAGAAAAAGATCAAAAATCACACAAATATCCTACATTTTGAATAAATATACCTATTTTCAAAATTATTTCAGGGTTTTAGTTTCCAATTCATTGGGATAGCCAAATGTTCCTAATTATAGAAGTATGTTAGGAGCAACAAAAAGGTTTTTTTACACTGAAACCCATCCCCCACTAAAATATAACCCAGCTCAAGAAATCAAGGAACTGGAATCATTTCCTTAAGGTATTTTAGCTCTTTTCTATTGTTTTTTTTTAAGGTTGCTGATTAGAAGATAAAGTGGCCTCTTCTGTGCCTAAATATTTCTGATTGTCTATACAAGTGTCTATACAAGTGGAGAGTGAGTAGCTAAGTTCAAACTAATTATTCATCAATTGACTACAACCATATTAGTAAAGAGTTTTAATGTTCACTGTAATCTAGTGGTTAAAGCTCTTTTTTGGGGGAGGGGAGGGTGCCGGGATTGAACTCAGGAGCACTCGCCCACTAAGCCGCGTCCCCAACTTATTTTGTATTTTCCTGTCTCACCAAGTTGCTTACCATCTAGTTTTTGCTCATGCTGGCTTTGAGCTCACAATTCTCCTATCTCAGACTCCCCAGCCACTGGGATTAGAGGCATGTGTCACAGCATACAGCTAAAGTTCTTTCTTATCAGATAAATGTAAGTAGACTGCTTTACCTGCAAATTTGGGCAATCTCTGGTGTTTGATTTTATATTTGGGTAATTTTTATGCCCTCCCTTTCCATTTCCAGTTTATTAATAACTACTGCTAACTATATCAATTTGTTGTTTAAGAAACCTTCACAATATAGTTTAAGTCAAATCTATAATAGGGGCCCACCTCACTTATAGAACACCTGTGTGGCAATGCAATCTATGCAGAGATAAAATATTAGAAGTTTTCATTTTTCAGATTTTCTAACCAGTTGTTAGAACATACTCACCAATTTCCTCTGAGGACTTGATAATACCAAGATTGTCTCGTAGCCAGCGAATAACAGCTCCAGCTATAGCTACAGAACCCTGAGGGAAAATAGAAATCCAAGACAAAATATACGTTAGCACTACAAAGCATTTTTATTGACCCTATTCTCTGTATATGGCACTAGCAAATGGATAAATTTCAAGCAATTCAACCTTGGGAATTCCATAAATACAATAAATTAGGTCTTCTAATATGAATATAATACTTCTAATATAAATATAGTTCACTAATAAAAGTTTTTCATGGGATAGGGAAAAATGAGCCCTCCAGATACTCTTGGACCTGTCAAATCTTTTAAGCAGTTTGATTCTTTTACCATTTTTTATTTGTTGCTAAGCTACTGGGGCATGCTATCACCTAGAGTAAATTTCCATTTTATTCACAAAGTTATTGGGAGAGGCCGCATTAAGTTTCTTCAACCTGGGTACAATGATGCATGCCTATAATCCCAGCTATTCTGGAGGCTGAGGCAGGAGGACTGACTGGTCAGCCTGGCAATTTAGAGATCCTGTCTCGAAATAAAAGAAAATAAAATTGCTGGGCATAGTGGCACATGCCTATAATCCCAGCAACTCAGGAGGCTAATATAAGAGGATCGTGAGTTCAAGGTCAGCCTCAGCAATTTAGCAAGGCACTAAGCAATTCAATGAGAACCAGTCTCTAAATAAAATATTTAAAAGGGCTGGGGATGTGACTCAGAGGTTAAGTGTCCCTGGGTTCAATCCTCAGTACCAAAATAGATAGATTGATAGATAGGCTTGGGATGTAGCTTAGTGGTAGAGTGTCACTGGGTTCATTCCCCAGTACTGTCAAAATAAGTTTCTTCAAATCCATTTTCCACATCCAATAGCATATAAAAATCAAACAAAAAGTTGGTCATGGTGGTGGATGTAAAATCCCAGTGATTTGAGAGGCTGAGACAGGGAGCAAAAGTTCAAGGACAGCCTAAGAAATTTAGTGAAACTCTCAGCAACTTAGCAAGGCCCTATCTCAAAATTAAAAAAAAAAAAAATCCTAGTATGCATGAAGCCCTGAGTCCAATCCCTAGCACTGCAAAAATAATTTTTCTTATTATTTTTGGACTGGGGATATAGTTCAGTGGCAAAGCACCCTTGGGTTCAATATTTAATACCCCCCCAAAAAGTTTAAAGACACTAGCTCCAAAGTAATTATTCTTTAAGACCAATCAATCACCAATGGATTTGGAGGTAGGGGCTGTGTCACAAGGATGAAAAATACAATTCAGAGTCAGATAAAATGAGTTTGAGTTCCATTTCTAGAACTTAACTTTTCTATGTAATCTTAGACAAATTATTTAGGCTTTCTGAGCTTCTTTCCTTCCTTTTTTGTGGGACAAGAGATTGAACTCAGGGGTACTCTATCTCTGTGCTATATTCCCAGCCTCTTTTTTGAGACAAGGTCTTGCTAAATTGCCTGTGCTGGGGCTAGGGTTGTAGCTCAGTGGTAGAGCATTCGCCTCACACTTGTGAGTCACTAGGTTCAGTCCTCAGCACCACATAAAAATGAATAAGTAAATGAAATATCTATTATGTCCATCTACAACTAAAATATTTTTTAAAAAGTTGCCTGTGCTGGCCTTGAATTATGATCCTTCTGTCTCAGTGTTCTGAGTTGCTAGGATTATAGGTGTGTACCTTTGCACCCAGCTCTGCACTTCACTTCTTTACATGTAAAATGACAGTGACTATCACAATATGTACTTAAACAAAATTACTGTAAGGCTCAGTATGAGAATACATGTGAAGGTTCTTAATGTAAAAATATTAACTTTGTTAATTTCTTTTTTTAGTTGTTGATAGACCTTTATTTTTCTTTATATGTGGTGCTGAGAATCAAACCCCGTGCCTCACATGCTAGGCAAGTACTCTATCACTGAAGCTACAACCCCAGCCCTAACTTTGTTAAAGTGTTCAATAAATATCAGCTAGGGGTGTAACTCAATGCCTACCATGTATAAGGCTCCAAGTTCAATTCCTAATATCACCAAAAAATATATTTATATAACAGATATCAGCCAAATTCCATCAACAGATGAATGGATAAAAATGTGAAAACACTATGTAATATTATTTTTCCAGTAAAATGAATAAAGTACAACAATGGGGAAGCCTTGAAAACATGCAAAGTAAAAGAAACCAGGTATAAAATATCATGTACTGCATGACTCCATTTATATGAAATATCTGGCATAGGCAAAGCCATAGAGACAGAAAGATCAGTAGTTGTTTAGGGTGAAGGATGGCAGTTATGGGGTTTCTCTTGAGGATAATGTGATAATGGTTGTAAAAATCTGTGAATATTCTAAAAACCAGTAACTTATATACTTCTAAGGAGTAAATTTTGTGGAATGTGAATTAAATCTCAATAAAACTACTATAGGGCTGGGGTTGTAGCTCAGTGGTAGAATATTTGCCTTGCACATGTGAAGCACTAGGTTCAATCTTCAGCACCACATAAAAATAAAATAAAGGTATTATGTCCATCTATAGCTAAAAAATTAAAACTATTATAAAAAAGACATTAAGGGCAGAAAAAGTATCAGCGTGAATCAACAAGAATTTTAAAAAATATTTTGCTCTGATGATATAGATTTTCAATGTAAATTACTACCACTGAGTCACTCCAAATCAAATGTCACATGATATTAAATGTAGAAACCTGTCAGTTCAATTAACTGAATTACAAATGTCATCCCTTCTTGTTGTCATTTTTCAAGATATATACAAATCAGAGGATGAATGTACTGATAAAGTTCTTCATTCATACATTCTATAAGAAGTCACTATATGTTACTACAAAGCCACAGAATACCATAACTGTTCTATTTATACAATGGCTTTTTAACTACAAATAATTATATGTGGAGCATATTTACGTAAAAGTACAAAGATAATGAAGCTTTAAAACTGGGACTGGGCTGTGGTGCAACTCAATGATAGAGTGCTTATCCATGCATAAGTGCCAGGGTTCCATCCCCAGCATGGCAAAAACAAAACAAAAAACCTTCCTCCCAGTTAAAAAAAAAAAAAAAAAAAAAAACAAGAGGGCAGGACAAAAGCAATTCAGTTAAGTAGCAACCTTAACCTACTTCACTACTCCCAGTGAATCTTATTAGTATATTTCCCATCTTTGATATGTTTACATTTAGATACTTAGTGGGACTATTCAGGAGTACTAAGTAAAAATTTTTTTAGAGAGACTTTACCTTTGGATTTCCTTTGGAGCAGACAATTCAAAGATAGTAGCTGTCAAATACTACTAGTCTGGTGTTATCCAATGAAATATAATGAGAACCATAGGTAAATTTTTACCACATTAAAAAAAACTAAACATCTGGGTGCAGTGGTATATGCCTATAATCCTAGTGACTTGAGAAGCTGAGGCAGGAGGATTGCAAGGTCAAGACAAAATTACTGAGATATTTTATTTTTTGTACTATGTCTGAAATCTGGTAAATATTTTAAATTTACAGTACATCTCAATTCAAAGTAGCCACATTACCAATACCCAATAGCCAGATATGGCTAGTGGCTACCATATTGGGCAGCACAGTTCTAGACCTCATTCATAAAACAAACGTCTTTTCCCCTTCTGCTCTCAAAAGACACTATGCATAACTCGGATCTAACCAAGAAACACATATATTTTCAATAGTTTAGGGCAAGTAGAGTGAATTTTGAACTAAATTCAACTATGAATTTTTAAAAGTTACTTTGCTAGAAGTCTAGCAGGGTGATTCCACGCCTATTAGCTAGTGGAAAACTTTGGGAAACCAAGTGCTGATATTCCATATTTCCACTGAAAATGGTAGAATACTATGTACTTGAGACATTTTTTTTTTAAAAAAAGAGGAAGCAATATGGCTTTAGCAAAATGAAAATCAAGGTTTTGATAATCGGTTGACAAGCAGAGGGCATTACTTTGACTTAAAACAAAAGAAACAAAATACAAAGCCACTGCCAAGACTTCAGAAGAAAAGTGTTAAATTTGGTCATCAGGAGATATAGAAGTATTGTGCTATAATCAAAGAAATAGAGTGAATATAAGAAAATAAAATATAGATTAAAAACACTGAACTGAAAGAAGTATAAAATTTCGGTATCAGGATATAATACACAGTATGGTTTAGCTTTTACAGAAATTACTAAAAATGAGAGAAACCTTTAAAATTCACACAAAAATGTAGTTTTCTGAAATCAGAGGCAGGGGATAAAATGAAAGGTATAAAATTTTGAAGCTGGACAAGAAAACAGAAACAGAAACCTAAAATGATGTGATAGAATGTAACTGTCCACTTTGTTATTAATTAAGTTACCACAAACCTAAAATATAAAAATCCAATACTTTGGTGCAGTATCTACAAAAATGAAGCAGCCCTAGTTATGAGTCTTGACCCCCTGGGAAACATGCACGCAATTGTACTCTAAGGAAGACACAATGGAACTGAGAGGGTATAATGAAGAATAAATTAAATGATATGAGGAATAAATTATATAAAAATTAGACAATGTAGTCTGGAAAATGAAAGGATATGGGAAGACTAGACTGAAAATAATCAAATAGTGGGGCTGGGACTGTGGCTCAGTGGTAGAGAGCTTGCCTAGCATGCTTGGGGCCCTGAGTTTGCTCCTCAGCACCACATAAAAATAAGTGAATGAAATAAAGGTATTGGGTCCAACTACAACTAAAAAATTTTTTAAAAAATCAAGTAGCACTGATGTAACATCATAGCAAGTGCATGAACTCGATTCCTCCAAAATTCCTTGACATGAATGCCACTGTCACAACAGTATATGTACAAAGAAGAATACTTCAGAATGCGCTAGACTTGCATCTCAAAAGGCAGTTGGTGAGAGTGGAGATAATAATGTAAAATCAAGATTATCATTAAAATTGTTTAAAACCACTCATTAGGCATGGTAAACACAATTTTGTGCATACTGAAGTACTATGTATCCTACATGTATAATTTATACTGTACTTAATTTGTATATATTAGATTACAAATGCAAAGTCT